CAGGCTGGGCTGATGGACACCCCCTTCCCCCTGAGTGCACAAATTTTTGTGCACCGGGCCTCTAGTTTATATATATAAAAGCCAAGCACCCGGAATGACCGGTCGTTATAACTGGCCTGATCTGGGACCTGATTGGCCCACCAAACCTCTCTTGGCCTCCCCCCCGCTCACCGGCCAGCCCCCAATTGCCTTCCCCCACCCCAACTGGGGGCAGGACTGGCTGGCCAACCACCTGCCGCCCCTCGGCCTTGACTGCCAAGCCTCGATCAGGCCCATTGGGGTGGGCTGGCCAGACCCTACCCATGCTCGAATTCGTGCACCAGGCCTCTAGTTTTAGATAAACTAGTAACATAATCTAACTTAATTCACTATTATTCTAAAATTTATCATTTATCATTCTTTCCTTTCACCTTCCTCCTCTTTTAATTCCAACTTTCCCTATCTCCTTCCTCCTTTTCCTCCTTCCTTTTTTGACTTGTTCTCAATAAATTCCTCTCAAACACTTAAATAAAATGAAAAAAAATCCCATTGGCTAAAAAGAAAGGAAAAAAGGTTAAATTGCACATATATTTTGACTACTTTTACTCCTTCCTTCTGATTCATTCTCATGGAGTCTCTGGACATTATTTTTAAAGAGATATATGAGTGGCTTTAGATGCAGTGTTAATCACCCTGTTTGGAATATGATTTAGACATATAAAGACTACTGCTTGAATTTTTGTTATAAAGGAATATTTTTGTTATAAAGGAATCCATAAATTTCAGTTTATTCACAAACCCCAGTATAAAAAGGCATTGTGTACCTTCCATCTACAACTCTATGTCTTTAAATTCATCTCAGTATCTTTATAATGTTCTTCATCCACTCTTGACCATGAGAGCAAAGTCAGCTTCTCCTGACACTTTTTCAAGGATGCTTCATTAAATGCTTTAATTTTTCCTTTAGTTTTTTTGTAAGACTCAGCAGAGTGTTAGTGGGGGGCAGGCGGGCTGGGAGGGAGCGGAGATGTTGTAGAGGGTTGACCAGAACTCAATTACTTTATCTGACTTATAGAGATAAGTATGAGTATGAATTGGAGTATTTGGATAGGTTGCACAAAGGAATACAGATAATTGATTCATAATATATTTGAAACCAAAACATATTTATTGCTTATACCCTGATCAATAGTATTCTTAGCAATTTTGTATTATAAGAAAAAGTAACTACCAGTATATTCTAAAAAGAAAAATGTCTCAATACATAGTCAAATATCTATTTCATATTTCCCATTCCAACTCATCTACACTAATAAAAGAGAAAAATGGTAATTGGCGTACAACGCTACCCTTTTCATTGGCTAATCAGGGCTATATGCAAATTAACTGCCAACTCAGATGGCAGTTAACTGACAACAAAGATGGCGGTTAATTTGCATAGGTAGGCACAATGCAGGGAGGTGAAAGGGAAGGCAGGAAGAAGGCCCCTGCCACTGACAG